TTGAGACGACAGGGCGCTTGAATATTGATCTGTTGCGAGGGACAGTGACAGAGCCCGACAGATGATAGGATGCAGAAATCATTCTCATCTCCTGATCCTCGTCCTCCTCCTCAGCCTCCTTCTGCTTACCCGCTCCTCATTCTCCTCTGTCGTCCTTCTCGTCTTCTGCTCCTCCCATCTCCTCCTGATCCTCCTCCTCCTCCTCCTCCTCCTCCTCCTCCTCCTCCTCCTCCTCCCCCTCTGCCCCCCCTCCTCCTCTCTTGCATCTCGGCTGCCAGTCCCAATGAGGATACAACCAAACTTCCAATGCCGCACATAATCCTAGAAACGGACAGAGACGCACACGACTGGCAGAGCACTCCAATGCCCTTCTCTCCCCGAGAAGGGGGCGACGAGAGGAAGGAAGACAGGAGAAGAGGAGCGAGAGAGGCGGGGAGGGAGGCGGGGAGGGACGAAGGGAGGGGGAAGGGGAGGGAGGAAGAATACCTCCTCGCCCGCCTGGGCTGATATGCCCCCCTCCCCCGCTCACGGCACGCTGGCAGCGGCAGCGTGCTACGGTAAGGGTCTTTGCGTTGCTGCGCCCTGCTGCTGCCCGTGTCCTCGCGCCGCCATCCTTCGCCCCAGCGGCTTGCCCCAGGAAGAGCGGCCTCCTTCGCCCAACCATGTCTCTGCCCCGCCACAGATAAGTCGGCCTCACAAACGGGCACCTCCAACAGCTAGGCCATCGTTGAGCCACACCTGCCAAGGGGCTGCAACACTCTTCCCTTGATGCAACATGCCCGTGGCGAGACATTCGGCTGATATATTCGAGTTTGCCATACGGCAGGTTCGCGTCGTGTCGACCCCGGCGTTGGTTCCTGACACCGCGGGAATCGTTTAACCTTTTACGATTACGATCGGCCGTTTCCGAAACGCAGGATCGTTCAACATCGACCGATTCTGTGTGGCCAGCGGCGCTCAACCTTGAACGCTGGCAGCGGGGTCGCCGCCTGTCGACACGACGCTGACCTGCCGTACCTGCGCAGAGACTGGATAAGGCAGCCAGCGGTAATCCAGTGAGTCTTTCCTTCAGTCCGAACGCGAGCCTGTAAAGACTGCCCAGGAGCTTCACTCGCCTGCGCGAGAATCTTGAACATCCTCAGGCTTTTCAGTGCCACTACGTCTCGTGAACCACCCGCGCGTGGGCGCCGAAGCCGCAGGTTGCGATCAGCGCACCGGCTCGCGCGACGGCAGAATACGACGATGTCCACGCGTGGGCTCCGGGTCCACGCGCCGGATCGGCCCACAATCGCGCAGCGCCTTCCTAAAGCGACGGGATCTGCGCAGTGGGAGGCTGGCGGGCACTTGGGGCAACTGGTCGGTCATCGCCAAGGCCCCGTCTCCGCCGTCGACTAGGACGATCGGCCCGCGAGATGGCGCAACACGCCGTCCGAAAATGCGCACGGAGCACGGCCACTGATCGGGCCGGACGTGGGGCAACAGAGCAGAACCAGAAATGGCCACGACTACCGCGACACTGATCCCTCGAGCGAAGCGCTGAACCCGATCATGTCAACATCATAACCTGCCCAAGTACCTGCCGCTGACAAAGGATTGCGCGACGCGCGGCGCCGCACGGCGCGCCGCGCGGCACGGCGCGGTGTGCGGTGGTGAAGGGGGCGCGGGCAGGCCCGCGGGTTCGCAAGCTGGTCGGACGCGGCCCTCCATACAGTCGGGGCGTTGACCTAAGGAACCCTGAGTAAGGAACGAGGTCCCTCTTTTCCATAAGTTGAACTTCGACTCCCCATCGAAGCCACAAGGAAAACCTGAGGCAAGCTGTGAAACAACTAAGGAACACGGAGCCCCTCCCCACCGAAAAGGGGGTTCCTTCTTCAGCGCCCCGACTGCAACGAGTGCACCGCGGAGCCCTTGAGCAATCGCTGCTCGCGGCATCGGAGGGCGAGCGCAGCAAAGCGCGCTGAGAGCCATTTCGGATCATCGAGCCATGGCGCACCGCGCCACCGGACTTTCGATGTTCTTTTGCGAGCCGCCTCCTGCAGTCTCTATACGTGCTTGGTCCAACCTTAGCCGCCCCGATGCGCAACCCGCAACACGTAGCGCATCGATACGGAACTCAACACGTAGGCTGAAGACGCAGGTCTGACGCGATACACTCGCCAAAAAGTTGTCCAATACGTGGAGCCGACACGCAACGTATTGGCACAGACGTCTTGCGTACGGTACGTGTTGCGTATCAAAACGCGGGTATCGAGGCAGCTAATGGGCCCAACCGATGAGCACTCCGAGGCCGCGACGGTGCCAACCCCCTGCGGAAAAGGAGCCTGCAGGGCGACCCGCCGACGGCTCCTCGGAGACGCGCCGGCCCCGAGGGCTGCAGGCCGTACATCACACCAGTGGCACGTCGTCATGCCAGTGGGCATGCTGTGCTGGTGCAGCATGCGGTGCTGTGCAGCAGGTCTTCATGCCAGTGGGCATGCTCTTAGTGGGCCCTGGAAACGACAAGGCTTTTTTGTTACCGGTTCCGTTTGCAATTTTTTACTGGTTCCGACGCCGTTTTTTTTACTAAGCTGGGAACAACACGCGAGCCGACCTGCGATAAGCAAACTCATGCTCTGCACCGTGACCTGAAAGATGAGCGAGCATGCCGCATGTGAAAGGAGAGGGATTAACGCGGAGGAGAGAGCGCCAGGAGACGAGGAGGGGACACGGTAAGAGAATGCCTGGTGCAAGCTATTGTGTCTAGCCGAACTCTGCTGCGGTTCCTGTCTTGCGAACGCGGCCGAAATGCGGGCCGCAACGGCGCTTGGGTTTTGGAAAGACTTTGGCGTTACCGCCTTTTTGGGCTTCTTATCGCTTAGGACAGCCAAGACGGCCGCCAAGACGCCCCCAAGTTCGCCAAGAAAGCTCACCCCCAAGATCGCCCCAAGTCCGCCCAGAACGCTTCCAAGACAGCCCGAAGACGTCCCCAGCGAGCTCCAAGACGCTCCCCAGGTCCCCGAGAAGGACCCGCGAGGGAATCCGACCTCACATGTGGAGCCCTCCCCGAAAGATGGCCTTCAGACCGCTTCCAGACGGTCCCAGGGGCGCCCAAGACGGCCCCAGAGAGCTCCAAGAGGATCCAAGAGAGCCCCATGAGGCAAAATTCATTGATTGTGCTTTGATTATGGAAAGAATTTGAAAGATGTTGGCGTACCCACCGTTCCGCGCTTCTGACCGCGCAGGACAGCAGCCAAGGAGGCCGCCAAGATCGCCCCAAGTCCGCCCAGAACGTTCCCAAGACAGCCCCAGGATTCCAAGAGAGCTCCAAGACGGCCCACGAGGCCTCTCAAGGGGCCTCCCGAGGCCCGCGAGAAAACCCAACGGCTGGAAATCCGAACCGACACGTCGAGCTCTCCTCGAGAGATCGCCATGTCGAGACCGCCGGCAGGCGTCCAGGAAGCCTCCAACATAACAGGCCCCCCGAAGCCCGAAGCACGCCCCCGACAAACCTCGGAGGCACCCGGAGCCGGGAGGTCCCGACGCTGTCCCCGGGAGGCCCACGAGAGCGCTCCCTGGAGACCCCACTGGCCACGGCCGCAGGACCTACGCCAGCGGGCATCATCAGCATCATCATCCTCATCATCACCATCATCATCATCATCCTCGTCATCATCATCATCATCATCATCGTCATCATCACCATCATCATCATCATCATCATCATCATCATCATCATCATCATCATCATCATCATCATCATCATCATCATCATCATCATCATCATCATCATCATCATCCTCGTCATCATCATCGTCATCATCACCATCATCATCATCATCAACCTCATCCTCGTCCTCGTCCTCATCCTCATCCTCATCCTCATCCTCATCCTCATCATCATCATCATCAGCAGCAGCAACAGCATGCCCCTCCGCTTCCCCGCTCCCTCCCCCCCCTCCTTCCCTCTTTCTCCTCCTCCTCCTGGACGGCCCGAGAGGCTCCAAGGACGACCCAGGATGCGCCCCTGGCGACGAAGCCGCGGGCCAGCGCACGCGATGCGACAGTCTGGGCCGGCGGAGTGAGCGAAGCGATCCAATCCGGCGGGCCTTCTGCGGGTCCTCGCCGGGGTCAGGGCGGAAGGATACGTGATGACGCCTGCCACAGTACGAACTGGCAATGCAGCAAACACGCAGAGGATAGATGCAAGGGCGCCCATCTTCGCGCTTCGCGCTGCGCGAAGCGCGAGGCGCGAACAACTTCGCGCTCCCGCGCCGCCTACCAGGGGAGAAGAGGAGGATGAGGAGGAATCGGAGCCGAAGCGCGAAGCGCGAATAACTTCGCGCCCTCGTAGATGATGGATCTAGGGTGACCAGCGGAGGACATTGCCCAGCAGCGGCACGTTCAAGCCTCGTTGGATTCGCCAGCTTGCTACACTCGGGTGGCAATAGAGGAAAGATAACTATGCACATACACCGATTCTGGCCAGGCCCATCCTGAGCCCAGGATCGGTGCATACGCCCTCCTGCCTTGGCCAGGAAGGCATATGCACCCATCCTGGGTCAAGGATGGGCCTTGCCAGGATCGGTGCATGTGCATAGTTCTCTTAGCCCGAAGATGATGGATCCAGGGTGACCCAGTGGAGGACATTGCCCCGCAACGGCACGTTCAAGCCTCGTCGGGTTCGCCGGCTTGCTACACTCGGGTGGCAATCGAGGATAGATGATGGATCTAGGGTGACCAGCGGAGGACACTGCCCAGCAACGGCACGTTCAAGCCTCGTCGGATTCGCCGGCTTGCTACACTCGGGTGGCAAGCTGACAATCGGGGGCGGCAAAGAGGGTGGCGTCCAAGAGGGGGGGGTGCAAATCATGACCGGCGGCATGTGCGCGGCCCCGCGGGGGGGCCAGGGGCGTCATGAAGCAAGAAGAGGCGCCATGAAATCTGGGGAAACATCGTGGCCCACGCCGTGATATCCCCCCCCCCCTAGTCACCACCCCCCTCCTCTGCCGCCCCCGATGCACTCGGGCGGCAGGCCGACGGGGGCCGAGAAGCCAGGCAGCTCCGATGCTCGGAGGGCGGCACTCCGCTCGTCGCCGCGGCGCTCGCCCTCGGCAGGACGCGGCGCTCGTGCGTCAACGGTTAGGTCGGGCGCGGCCTCCTGCAGGCTGATCTTGGATCTTGGACGACTCAAATCAAACATGGTCAAACATAGGGGGACGAAACGTGACGTGAACATAAAACTCGGAGGTCCGCGCTGCTCTCTCGCACCGGCGCTGGGGCCCCCTGGCGGCGCCTCCGGCGCCGCCCCTGGCGCGCTCCGCGCGCCAGGGAGGGGGGTCCAGCGCCGATCCGAGAAATCCGCGCGGACCTCCGAGTTGTTATGTTTATGCCACTTTTCGCTCCCCTAAAACAATACCCCCAAGTAGTCAAACATTCATGGAGACGTCGTCCCCGGACTATAGTCTTACCAATTTTGGATACTCCTCCTGTGGAGGGACACGCCCGACTTCAGTCGACGGGATCGCGGGCAGAAATAGATGCCACGGCAGCCGACGAAGCGCACAGAGGTGCCACGAGCCGCAAAGACGCGCTGCCGCGCGTCAGACATTTTCTCGACAAGCGGCGGCGCGGTGAAACCTTGAAACCAAACTGGCCCACCGTCGGCTCGACACGTTCGGCCGACGTAGGCCTGGAACAAACGGCGGCAACGGAAGGAAAACGAAAACACACACAAGCATCAACTTTTGGCGCTCCGCGCGGATTTCTCGGATCCGCGCTGGACCACCCCTCCCTGGCGCGCGGAGCGCGCCAGGGGCGGCGCCGGAGGCGCCGCCGGGGGGCCCAGGTGCGGATCCAAGAAATCCGCGCGGAGCGCCAACAGTTTATGTTTACGTGTTTTTTTCTTTTTCGAGTCAAGATTCCAACTGAAACGCCTCGAGATGCGTTGTGCATCCGGGGAGCTGGAATCAACGACACAGTCTCACGGGGAGCGCACAACATAGCAAAAACCGTCCTCGTCGTCTCGAGGAAGGGTTGACGAGAGCCGAAGGACGGGCTCCCAAAAAGATCTTTGCCGCACGAACAGTGCAGAAGGCAGGCTGGCCGCTACACGCTCCTCACACTGCTGGTCTCGTTCTCGACCTTCATAAGAAGAAAAAGCGTCATAAACGTCAACTTCTGGCGCTCCGCGCTGATTTCCTGGATCTGCGCTGGACCCCCCTCACTGGCGCGCGGAGCGCGCCAGGGGCGGCGCCGGAGGCGCCGCCGGTTGGGCCCAGGCGCGGATCCAAGAATCGCCGAGCGCGTCCCACTACTCGCAAAGTGCCTACTCGCAAATGTCCGAAAAACACATGCCTGACTTGATGTAATCTGTCGTAGATCCACCGCGGGGTATCCAGGCCATTTGCGAATCCAGCCAACCAGTACAGTAAGGATGCGCGATAAGGATGCAAGGGCCTTGGACGCCCATGTCGAAGCTTTTCGAGCGGGGCGCGGCCAGCGAAAGCGGCAAAGGGTGGACCGAGGAGGCAAGGACGCAAGGGTACCCTTGGGAAGGCTGCCCATCCTTGCCATCATGGTTGACTGTAGTCACTCTGCGAGCTGGATCGCGCTCGTCGAAAAGAAATCTGCGCGGAGCGCCAACAGTTTATTGAAGGGGCCCCAGGACACACAAATAAATACACACAAATAAAAATAGTCCCCATATTTTCCCATATTTTCTGGGTTTTTGTCTTCCCCACCACTTCCCATATTTCCCCATATTTTCTGGATAATCGAGGATTAATTGTGTCTGTGTGTTTTTTCCCCTCCTGATTTCTGTTCGTGGCGTTTTTTCCCCTTCGGACCTCGTTGGCGACCACGCGCTGCGGCGCCCTCCTCTCCGCCATGCCCAGGGCGGCGCGGGAGTCGCCCCGCTCCGGCAGGGCGCCCTGCGAGCGCCGCTCGCCCGACGTCTGCCTGCAAAAGGGGCCCGGGGACACGCAGACAGACAAACCCAGAGATCCAACAGACAAACCCAGAGATCCCCCCCCCCCCCAAAAAAAAAAGCCCAGAGATCCAACGCATTGAAAGAATCACGACGGACATTTTTCGCTAATTTCGGCCCCTAGGAGCCCTCGCTGGGCCTCGGGACCGTCCAAAAACGACTATTCACCCTCACTCGCGTTGATTAGCAGAGGGAGGGAAGGAAGGGAGACGCACCGTTTTGACTCAGGATGAAAAACCGGTAGGAAGCGACTCAGGATGAAAACGACGCGGGACCGTCAAAAAACGACAGGAGGCCATGCAGCGTGATAAACTCTTGGACCTTGCTGGCATGATGCCCTTGGAGAAGCAGTTGCAGGTCTTGCAGCAGATGATTGCCGAGTTCACGACGCCTCTGAGTCTTGAGCGTGAGGTGCTGGCATGCGCTTTTTTCACTGCCAAGAAAGATGTGAATGAGCACGTTTTGACTTTCAACTTTCACCCCCAGGGCGTCTTGGCCAGGATTGTTCCCCTGGTTGAATTTGCTCTGGAGGCGGCGGGGGGGGGGAACGGGTTTCGAGTGCACCGCCCAAGGGGCAACTCTTTAAATGATGGTGTTGATGGTGTGGGTGCCTTGAGGCCTTCTCCCACCGAGGCAGGCCACGAGCCGCTCGGGGGACGAGGGCGCCGGCCACGCGGCATCCCGAGTGCTGCTGCAGAGCCCCTCGGCCAGAGCGTAAACTCATGGATTTAACCATGATGAAACCAACTTTTTTCGGCCACAGCTTTCGAAAGCAAGCGTCCAGATGCTTGCCACGAGGTGTGAAGGCGCCCCGTGATGCTTCAGACAGCTCTCGTGCCGCCGGCGATGCGATGCGATGCGATGAAAAACCGGTCCTGGGGAATGGATCGAGGCTTCCAGGGACCGCGTATTGAAAAAACCACGACGTCGGATCTCTGGGGACACGGATCCCAGGACTCCCCACGTTTTCCCAGATCGTCTGGGCTTTCGTCTTCGCTTCGCCCCCCCCCCCCCCGGTGATTTTCCCATTTACTTTCCTGGGAGAGTCGGGGACGAACCGTGTCCGTGCATTTTTTCCCCTCCTGGGCCTGCTGATGCCGAGGTCGCCGCTCGACCCGCGCGTGGGGAGGTCGGCGGCCTGCGAGGGCTCGTCCTCGCCGTCGGCCAGGCTGCCGGGGGGGGTCCCGCCCACGTCCTCGAACACGGACATCACCATCTGGCTCACGGCGTAGGCGTCCTCGCAGAGGTCGGTGGCGCCGAGGCCCATCTTCTCGGCGGACCTCAAAGAGGCCATGAACCTGCCGGCGTACTTCTGAAGGTACTGGAACGACGCCAGCCGCTGGCCGGTCACTGCGCGGAACTTGGCGGCGCTGAGGCCGTAGATCTCGCAGTTCTGCTTCGCGGCGAGACGGCCGCAGTAGTGCCACTTCTCGCTCCAGAGCACGGCCTCGCAGAGCCACTGGTCCATCTCCACGTCGATCGAGGAGCTCAGGTGACAGGAGTACTCCAGCGCGCCCGACAACACAATCAGCATCTCGGAGGCGCGCTCCCCTCGCAGAAAGATCGTCTGGCCTGGCAGCCACGACTGCTGCGACATTGCGAGGTGGCACACCAGCCAGATTCCTGCGGTGTCTGCGTGGGCGTACTGCTCGAGCAGCGGGTGCAACGTGATGACGGGCATGTATATTTCCCGGCGGAGCTCCAACTTCAAGACCTCGGGGAGACTGCCGAAGAAGATGAGGTCGGGCTCGTGGACACGCTTCCGGCGGGCTTCGTAGTTGTCTCGGAAGTACTTGCGAATGCGAATCCCCAGATCCACCGAAACCCGGTTCTCCTTGAGGTACTGTCGCAAGTTCGTTTCCGCCTTGGTTCGGTCTTTACTGATGTTGGCGAGCTGGGCCATCACGGTCGTGATGCTGCTGACGAACGAAGAGAACGACACCAGACCGAACACGAGGATGCAAACCGTGAAGGCTCGCTCCACCTCAGTGCATGGATTCACCTCCATTGAAGCTGGCATGAACTGCGTCATCGACCAGTGCAAACTTGTGAGGTACTTGTAGATGTTGGAGGTGTCCTCCACGTGGTATTTCCTCACCCACGAGCACTGCCTCGAGTCGCCGACCTGGACGCCGCTCAGGGCGTACCACACGCACGCGATATAGTGGTTCAGGATGACAACAGACATCACGAGCTTCATAATGCTCAGCAGTATCAGTCCATACTCCGAGTTGATCCCGTCGGTGAGCTTCGCAAATATCTCGGTGACCTTGACGAGGCGGACCAACCTCAGTGCCCGGATGATGCGGAGAGCCCGCAACGACCTGCGTATGCGCAGAATGCCTGCAGCATCGCCCAAGCCAACAATGACAAAAGCCCAGTCCATGAGCACGATGGTGAGATCTGGTCCGAACCATGATCTCAAATACCGCCTTGCTATCATCGAAGGTCTCATCTCCAAGAAACCATCGATGTGGTAGCCTGTGATGAAGGAGACGAAAATGTCGGCGGTCCACCAGGACGACGACACCAACGTCAACGCCATGGTGAACCTATTCTCCTCGGGCAAGTCGAAGACATAGAGAGGGATGACGATTACGTCGTAGATGATGAAGAGGAAACCGGTGAGGTCCCAGGCGAGCCGGCACCGGGAGTTTGGGTGCTGGATGACGCCCTGGCACCTGTTCCTGTCCACCAGCATGTCGCCCACGCGCAGCTTGCGCCTGAACAAATCTCTGGACTGCGACACGCACTTCCTCGTGCTGTCGTCCAGCTCGGCGAGGATCGCGGTTTCCCAAACAGGAGACTCCGTCATCCCCAGGTGTTCGCGGGCCTCCCGGAAAACGCGGTGCTCCTCCAGCGCCTGCGCCGGCGCCAGATCCTCGCCGGCGATGCGGCTCTGCTTCACGAGGCCTCCCCTGGCGGACTCGTGCGTGATGGCCTCGAAGAAGTCCTCCGTCATGTGCCGCCTCTGCGTCCTGATCAACTCGCTGCCCATTCTCTTGAGACCCGCGGTCGGGAACAAGGCTCGTCGAGGCGAGCTGGCGAGCCGAGGAGAGTTGGTCGAGCCGGAGGGCCGAGGCGAGTCCTGGCGGTCCTCGACGGCGACGGCCCCGTGCGCGACTGCGCCGGCCGCCTGCGGCTGCGCCGGCGGCGGGGCCTCGCGGCGCGGTTGCTCCTGCGCTTCCTCGGTGCGCGGCTTCCCCCGGGGCCGCTGGCGACCCGAGGAGGAGGACGAGGACGAAGAGGAGGGGGAGGACGAGGAGGAGGAGGACGAGGAGGAGGAGGAGGCGGAGGAGGAGGAAAAGGAGGAGGAGGAGGAGGAGGAGGAGGAGGAGGAGGAGGAGGACGGGTCGCCTAAGCCCTTCGAAGGAACCCCCCACTCCTTGGAACGTTCCAGGAGATTCTGGCCAAGGACGCCATCGCCCTCGTCATGTCGGCCCTGCCCGGCCGGCGCGGGTGTCGCGGGCGGCTCGCCCTGCCGCGTCTGCTCGGGGAGGAGCTCCTGCAGCAGCTCCTCGTGCCTCGCGAGGAGGGCCTCGATGGTGGTGATGGTGATGGTAATGGTGATGGTGGTGATGATGCTGCTGCTGATGATGATGATGCTGCTGATGATGAAGATGATGATGAATATGGTGATGAGGATGATGAGGATGATGATGATGAGGATGAGGATGATGCTGATGGTGGTGATGACGATGAAAATCAAAATTAAGATAACTATTAGAATCATGGTGCTGAGGATGATGAGGATGATGATGACGATACTGATGATGATGGTGATGATGATGACGATGATGATGATGATGACGATACTGATGATGATACGGACCCCCCCCCGCGGGCAGTCCTTCGTCTTCAGGAAGCAGCGAACAGCTGGAAGCGGGCGCACTTCCGACACAGGGCCCTAACCCTGGCGTGCACCATCGAAGCGTCAGCGGCTCTGGAAGTTAAATCTCGAGCGCGGAGCGAGTTTAAAGCGGCATGTATCGCATCGATGGCAACATACAACGGGAGTAGAGAATCAGACGAGGCGACAGGCGGCGCGGCAAAACCAGAGGCGGCAGTAAAAGAGACGGCCTCCCACCAAGAGGGGAGCATGGGCAGTATAGGACGAAGACAGGCAAGGATATGAGGGCAGCGAAGGTAATGCTTCATGGTGATGATGATGATGATGATGATGATGATGATGATGATGATGATGATGATGATGATGAGGATGAGGATGATGATGATGATGATGATGATGATGATGATGATGATGAGGATGATGATGATGATGATGATGATGATGATGATGATGATGATGATGATGATGATGATGATGATGATGATGATGATGATGATGATGATGATGATGATGATGATGATGATGCTGATGCTGATGCTGCTGCTGCTGCTGCTGCTGCTGCTGCTGCTGATGGCCTCCCTTAGGCGGTCCAGGCTGTCCGCCACGCTGTCCGCGAACGCCTCCCGGAGGGCACGGGCGGCGGCCATGGCTCCTCGTGCGCTGGCGGCCGCGCCGACCCCCGCCCCGCGCGCCCGGCGGCCCGAGGGCGCGGCTGGAGCCGGAGGGGCTGCGGAGGGCTCGAGGGTGCAGTCGGGGCGTTGACCTAAGGAGTCCTAAATAAGGAACGAGGCCCGTTTTTTCCATGGGCTAAACTTCGATTTCCCGTCGAAAACATAGGGAAAACCTGAGGCAAGCTGTGAAACACTTAAGGAACACGGAGCCCCTCCCAGACGAAGAGGGTTCCTTGTTCAGCGCCCCGACTCTACAGCGGAGGCCAGTTCACAAGAAGCCTTCCACAGGAAACCCAACCCTGCCACGAGACCTCCTCGGCCATCTGCCCCGGAGGCCACTTTGAACCTTAACCTCCCCCCCGCGGGACGCCAACACGGCCTCAACGATTGGCACCGACCCTCTTCGAGGCTTAGCACCCACCGATTGCAACATCTGCGTGCAAGCTTTCCCCTGGGGGCCCTCGCCGTGGTACAATATCCAAGGGTACAGTGGAGGCCAGTCCACAAGAAACCTTTCATGAGAAACGCAACCTTGAGACCCCAGGCCGTCCTTTGATTTTGGGTGTGGGGACGTCGCGCTCTCCACAGCAAGACCACCGAAAGCCAAGAAGCCCAGGGCACCGTGGAGGCGAGCAGGGCGCTTCTTGGCAAGGGTCTCCACTGTAGATGATGAGCTGGTGATGACATGGTGGAGGGTCGCATGACATGCGTGAAGGCATGCTCAGAGGAGCCTCACGCCTGTTCCGCATGGCAACCACACCTCCATTCTCCTTCTGGCACGACCAGGAGGAGGAGGAGGAGGAGGAGGAGGAGGAGGAGGAGGAGGAGGAGGAGGAGGAGGAGGGAGGGGGACGGAGAGGAGGAGGGAGATGAGGAGGGAGAGAGGAGGAGGAGGGAGGAGGAGGAGGAGGAGGGAGGAGGAGGAGGAGGAGGAGAGAGGAAGAGGAGGAGGAGGAGGAGAAGGAGGAGGAGGAGGAGGAGGAGATGTGTGTTCTCAAGCTCCTGGCGCCTGTGAAAATACAGACGATATGCGCCTCGAGGCGCCTGGGGTATGCGAAACTACAGGTGATTGGCACTCTCGGTTCTCCAGGAGCGCGTAAAACTAAGACTGAAACGTGATCCCCTGGCCTCGCATGGCTGTCCCGCTCGTGACATCCTCGACAACTTGGCCTCGAAGAAGACTCTGAATTTCCAATGTGCCAGCTTCGCTTGTGACTGCCTCGACAAATGAGCCTCGGGACTCCGAATCCCGATGATGACCGCTTCACTCGGGACGTCCTCGACAACTTGGTTTCGGAGAGAGCTCAGAAATTCAAAAATGGCTGTTTTGCCAGTGACCACCTCGACAATCAAGACTCGGAAGGGCTCCGAGTCTCAAACGCTACCGTTTCGCTCGAGACCTCCTCGACAATCTGCCTCGGAGGGCGCTTTGAACATCACCCCCCCCCGCGGGACGCTAACAAAAAAAACACTGCGAGCGCGCTCAGGGCGCGCGTGCCGCGCATGGACTTCAAGCACGCCGCAAACGGCGGCGCGCACGGGGCCAAGGACGGGGGCGCCGACCGCGCACCGCTCCGCCGTAGGCCCGGCCCACCGCCCACCCGCTCTCCCGCTCACGGCGGGTCTCCTGCGCCGCCCGCCCGTGGGCCCTGGCCTCGCCCGCCGTCGCGAAACCGTGGGACGCCAGATCCGCGTCCAGCCCAGGCACGCGGAGCCCCGCCACCGCCTCCTCCTCGCTCGCACCCGCACGCAGGGTGGGCGGCGGGGCTCTGGCGGGGCGCGGGCACCTCGGGGGCGGCGGCAGGCCACGTTCCCACCACAGGCCCAAGTACGCCAGAGGCGCCGCCTTCCAGCTCTAGCGCGGGGTCTACCTTCAATGCCTTGGCCCGCCTGGCCCGCGTGCTCGGCGACGGTGAGGCCAGCGGAGCGATCGGCTCCTTCGATTTGCCAGGAAGGAGCGTCTTCGCGAAATCAGCCGTCGCCTGCGCCCTCGAACCCTGCTTGGCTCTGGTCTCTGCGCCCTGGCAGCCCTTGCCGAGGCCCCTGTGCGCATAGCGCGGCTGGTTGCAGTACAAGTAGCAAGACGTGCACGCCAGCAAGGGCTCCCCTGGCCGAGCGAGCGCGCGCGTCTCAATCAGCAGGTGCTCGTTGACGATCCAAGGGCCCGCGGCCGTAGCCGCAGCTGCCAAGCTCGGGCAAGGGGGGCACGGCGCAGCACCTGGCTGTTCAGCTTCGGCGGCCCTGGCCTCAGCCCTCGCTCTGACCGCTCTCGTGAAGGCCTGCGGCGCGGACGAGGCGGGGGAGACGCCGTCGCCAGAAGCGCCGCGCCGCGATCGCGCGGCAGCCGCAAGCCTTTTCATGCAGGCCCGCCCATCACCACCTGCTTGGCCACCAGCATGGACAGTGGGGCCTGGGCTGGCCGTGGCTGCTGCCAGGGCGGCGCCCGCTGCCAGGGCCGCCGCCGCCCCAGCCCTCGTAGCCGTCGACGTCGGGTGGTCGAGCACGCTCGCGCCGTACTCCGAGACGTTCTGAGGGTAGAGGTAGGGCTCGAGGTTGATCGCGTCGAGCGCCTCCGTGGGCCAGCACTCCCGCTTGCCGCTGTTGGAGATGTGCACCTCGATCTCCGCAGCATAGCGGGCTGCGTCCCTGGCTCGCGCCAGGCAGCCCTCGAGAAGCAGAGCCTCTTCGTCGGCCAGTGCGTGGAGCTTTGGCCCTTCCTTGGCTCTTTCACAAGCGAGCCGATTACCATGGCGTTCTTTCGTTGTGATCTCGCCACGAGCTACAGCCTCCTGGGACGTGTGAGCAGGGGTGTGCTTGACGATCACACCCTCAGCATCACCCGCAACTCTAGCCCAGATGTGCGCGTTGACCGAAGTGGGCCCCTGCGCCTTGCCGAGTTTCTGGATCGCCTCCACCGTGCCGAGGCAGTCGCAAAGCAGCATGTAGGAACCGATGATCTGTGTGAGCGCCACCACCGCCGCATAGTCCTCGCCAGCACGGGCCGTCTGGGCAGGCACCAAGGATGGCAGGACTGCTCCCCAAGCCTCGGCAATGACGTCGCCCGAGCCCGAGACGACCACCACCGCCCAGCCAGCACTGCGCAGCAGCGGGAAGTCGCCGAGGACGCTAAGAGCGGTTACTGAAGACCATGGTGCCTTCGGGCGCCACCAGCGCCTCGCTCCAGCCGCGCGAGCGCTTCTCCCAATGGGCTTGCCAGGTCGGCCTGCTCAGCAGCGGGGCGGGTCCACGAAGAGCCCGATGCCGACCTCGTCGCACGGCGCACCCAACCTGCGCTGCACAAGATCGGCGGCTCGCTTCAGGTCTGGCGGCAGCCTGGCCCGCCGCCAACGCTCCCAGGCTGGGCAGCGGAAGTGCCTGTGGAAGGTCGTCCCTCGCTCGTCCTGGCAGATCAGGCAGCGCGGGTCGATGTTACCCCCGTGCTTGGCTAGCCCGTCCTGCGGACACTGCGACAGTGAC